TCCCTGGCATTTCATTATCTTTTATTATTATTTGCTATTATCATTTTTATCATCATTATTGTTATTCATTATATTATTATTATTATGATTATTATTAATGTTGTTATTATCATCACCATCGTCATCATTACTGTCACACCATAAACACTACTTCTCACCATCATCATCATCTCAAATGATTGTCATCATTCATCATCGTCATCATCATCATTTATTACAATTAGTAGTAGTTGTAACATCACTGGTTATTATTATTATCAGTATTACGAATATTGAATATCATCATTCTATGTAATCATAAGTAGCGGCAGTTGTGTTGATGCAGTTACAATCATTATCATTATTATCATCATCATTATCACTCCCATCAGTATCATCCTCATTACCAATATCCTGATTATTTTCATTATCATTATCACTATCTGATATCATCATCATTATCATCATCATTTATCATCATTATCATCATATCATTATATCATTATTCATTATCATCAATTATCATTATCTCATCATTCATCATCATTATCATCATTATTATCTTCATTATCATTATCACCATCATTACCACCATTATTAACATAATTATCATCATCATCGTTGTTAATCTGAATGCTAACAACACACAACAACAACAAATAATCCCGCGATAACAACAACAACAACAACAACCGAAAAAAAACAACACTCGACCCCGCTCCTCGAGGTACAGAGGTCGACCTTGAGGTGAAGTTCCCCCTCGACGCCGCCGCCGTACCCCATAGTGTGGCCTCGACTCCTGAAGGCTGGCGGTACACAAGGGCCCTCGTGTCTCGGGGTCCTGGGACACTCGCCCCTAAACCGAGACACTGGCTTGGATTTCTGGGACGTTTGGGTGTAACGCCTCGGCTTATGGGCTGCTGTTGCTTGGGCATTGTCGTCTCGTTAGTTCTGGTATTTATTTGTTTTTTGTTTATTTTATTTATTTATGTTTTTTTTTGGGGGGGGGGAGGGAGGGGAGGGCTGGGTATTTTATTTTTGTTTTTTTTTTTTTTTATTAATTATTATTATTCTTGTTTTTGTTTTCTTTTATTATATGTTGTTTGCTTATTTTCTAATTTGCTTTTTGCCGTGTTATACGTCTCCTTCGTCGTCTTGTTCTTCTATTTCTACTTCTTCTTCTCGTATTTTTTTCTTCTTCTTTCCTCTTCGTCTTCTTCTTCTTCGCTTCTTTTTCTTTTTCGTCTTCTTTTTCTTCTTCTTACTTACTTATCTGGTAACCCGCATTTTCTTCTGTTAACCTTTATCTTCCTTTTTTCCTCATTTTTTCCTTCTTTTATTACTCTTTTTACCCAATGTTTTCCTTACCTTCTCATCATTTTACATCATTCCTCTTCCATTTTATTTTGCCTTTCTTCCCCCTCC